CCTCCGACCCTTCTGGCCAATCCTCTCAGCCTCTGTAGCGAGCGGCCTCTTTTTCCCTCCATCCCTTAAGTGCTGACTTTCTCCTCCCCATGCCCCTTGCTCCCTGGCAGGTCAGATGTTGCTGGTTTTAGGGACCAGACCATCTACATCCTGGTGCTCCCAGACCCCTCTCTCCACGCAGACCTCCCTTCTGGGTCCAGACTCATTTGTCTAACTGCCTGCTAAACATGTACTTCCCACAGGCGCTCAAACTCATCACACACAAGAAAGGATTCAGAGTCACACTCCCCCAGAGCTGGCCCAGCTCCTGTGTCCCCATCTCACTCACAGGCACAGCCAACAGCCAAGGCGGAAACCCTTGCGTTGTCCTGACGTCGCTCTTCTCTCACTCACCACTGCTTACGTAACATCCAGCTTCTTCCCCGCAACTCCCGCCCCACTCATCCGCAGGGTCACCACCTCTTTCCTGGGCATCATCCTCTCTCCCAAATGGGCCACGCTGCCTCTAATCTCCCCTCTCCATCCATACTCCATATGCAACCAGAGCAACCTTTCTACAAAGCAAACATGCAAGTCCCTCTCCCTGTATAACCTTCCATGCTGCCCCTCCACCTTTGGGCCGGACTCGCTGCCAGCAGGCCTCCCAAGGCACTTCTCAGTTTGACCTCCAACTCCTCCAGCCACATCTTTGCTACCCAGCCACATGCTGGACACCACACCTCAGCCAATAGTCCCTGAACACGAGGCCAGTTCTCTCACTGGGCCTGCATCCTCCAGGTCCCTCTGCCTAGAATGCTGGCTTCTCCAGTCCCTCATGCCTATTCATCCCTTAAGACCCATCTCAACAACTGCTTTCCAACAACTGCCTTCTATGCTCTACGGTCCCCTGCTCCACCTCCACCTGTGCCCCATCCTACTGGAGGGACCCATGTCCAAGTCTAGGAGGCCTCTGTGGTTGGGCCAGAGGGGCCTGCATCAGAGGTCCCTTCTGGGACCTAGTAGCCAGCCCTAGCCAGACCCACCAAAGGCCTTAAGATGCTGAGCTGAGTGCCGGCCTCAGGCTTTGGCTGGCACCTGTCCCAAAGGGTTCTGCAGGCTTCATCCTTCTTTCAGGGTCTAGCTCCCTCTCCTCAGGGCCCTCAACACCTCCTCCTCCAGCATACCCTAGGCCTGCACCACCATGGAGTGGGGGCTGCCAAGGGTAAAGAGTGGGTCTCAACCCGTTCTGAGACCATGCACACACCTGCCAGTGTGCATGCCAACATTCACACACACACACCCCGACACACACAAACACAGACTCCTACGCCCAGGCACATCCACATATCCACATGGCCATGGGCAGACAAGGACCCACAAATGCCCCCAACCCACACATACACCAATAGGCACATGGGCCACACATAGGCACCTGGTTGATGACATAGACCCCGTAGCGCAGCCGCTGCCGCCTCAAGATAGGGTGTAGATAGTGGAGCCAGTAGCGCAGGTGGTGCTCCCGGTGTCTAAAGGGGATGATGACCGCCACCGTCTGGGCTGGGGTGCAGTCGGGCGGTGCGTATCGGCCGCCCATGAGCACGCCTGGGTTCTCCCTCTGCACCCGCTCCAGGGGCATAGGTGAGGTGAACTCAATCAGCAGTCTGCCCACTGCAAGCAGAACAGTGTCAGGAATCAGGGCGTTGGTCAGAATCCACAGATACCAGTCCCCACCCTCAGCCTGGGGGTTGGCTAGGAAACCCCAAGTATAGCCCTCTTTTAACAGACCTAGACTCTTGGCACCCCCATGAGTCCTGACGCCATTTCTCTGTCAAACTGGTAAGACCCTCTTTTCCCCAAAGGCAGGCCCTACCCTCCAGGCTCACCAAGACCAGGTGGTGAGTCAGGACAGGGTGGCAGCATGGGAACCGTGGGACCGGGCCGGGCACTGGGGACTTCAGGGACCCCGGAGCTAGGGGCGGTGGCGTTGGGCCGGGAGCAGTTGCTGCTGCTGCTGGCAGCTGGGTGGAGGGCACGGGCAGGGCCTCGGGCACTGAAGCGGCTGAAGAAAGCCAGATGCTGGGCGTAGACGTCAAAGTAGAGGATGACGGCCACGAGGAAGTGCAGCAGGCAGAGAAGGAGCACAGCCTTGCAGACGCGCTCCAGCGTTCCCCCCAGCAGTCTGCTCATCCCGCAGGCGGCCGCTGGCCCGCCCAGTGGGCCCGGGCATCCGGCTGCCGGCCTGAGCAGGGTAGGAGGGAAACAGATCCATTAGGTCAGGGCAGGACAGGCAAGGCTGCCCACCCACCTCCCACCCAGCTTTGCACACTCATGGGCCACACCCCACACTGACCTGCTCATACCCTTTCACACTCATGGACTCACATTATTTACCTGCAAACGGGCACCCAGGCACAGTTCCCAGCAACTCCATAACCGTACATCCTCAAGCATACCCCACTACTAAGCCACATACACTTACTGTCCTTCACCTCACTGACACATGCAGGCACCCTCACTGCACAACTCTACACACACTCTCACGCCTTCCCAGGAACACAGACATGTGAACTCTGACCACACTGGTTTGTCCCTAAGCATGGAAATATGTTTACCTATAGACCCCCCTGTGCACCGGTGCCCCTGAGAAGACATCCCACAGGGCAGCATCCGCAACCCAGAACTCACTGCTTGGGGAAGGGGGAAGAGAGACAATACTGTGCACCTACCATGCAGGAGCACTTTCTACTCATGACTTCATTTAGTCTTTCCAGGAGCCATGCTGGGAAGTGGTTTGCTCATTCAGATCCCAGCAGCAAGCAGGCCCAGACAACTGGGACCAGGCTGGGAAGTTGCCCTCAGCATCCCGGGGCCCCAAATATGGACTGGATGTTTACGGATTCCCTTCCCACTAGAGCAAAACATCAAAATACAGGGTGGGGCAGGGGCACCCCTCACTTAAGCAAGATCTCAAAGCCAGCCCCGTGGGACTGGGACCAAGACTCTGGGCCCTGCCCAGCACAGCTGGTTCTGATTCCCAGAACAGGGGATGCTTGGGCCTGGAGACAGCACAGCTTTGGGCATGGCAGGAAGGGGTCTTGCCTGGGCGATGGCTCCAGCTATGGTTCCAAGAGAGCAGCAGTGCTTCAGGGTGCGGGGCAAGTCTCACAGGCACACAGAATCACAGGGACACCCTGGTCCCAGCTAGTCACCCACACTCAGACACACAAACTACAGAGTCACAGACACACCCTGGTGACGGTAACACACGAAGTCCCACACTCACAAACAAAGCCCCTGCTCCTGGACTTCCACAGCCATACATCCAGGGTTCCAGGCAGCTCACACCCAGACCCACGTGCAAACATTCCCACCCTCCCTCCGGCGCAGGGGTTCTGGGTCAGGCTGGCGGCCAGGCTGAGGGGTGCGTTTGGGCGGGGCTGGCAGGCTGAACACGTGGCACCCAGGGACGGGCAGGCCGCACAGACCTGGTGGGTGTGGAGCCTGGGGGAAGGGGGAGTGGGTGGAGGGCAGGGGCCGAGGCAAACGCCAAGGGGAAACGTGAACGGAACGCCTCCCCGAGCCACGAGGCCGGGGCGAGCGAGGACAATGAGGGAGGCCGGCTGGGCGCGGGCGGAGGAACCCAGGAGGGGCGCCGGAGTGGAAGCGGGGTGGGGGCAGCCAGGCCAGGGGTCTGGCCGCCAGCCCCTCTCTCACCGGCTCTTGGGTTGGAATCTGGGGGCCGCGCTCGGGGTGCCCTTCGCGGGGCCGGGTCTGGAATCTCGGGGCCCTGGGTGGGGGCCGCGCACAGCCTCCTCTCACCCGGCGATCGGGGCTCAGCAGGGGATGCCGCTCCGGCTTGGGCAGGGCTCCCGGCTCCGGCGGCTGCGGATGGTTCCGTCCCCCATGGCCCGGCCCCGCCGCCTCCCGCCGCCCGGTCAGCGGCCACCGCGGCCCCCGGGTCGCCTCCCGCCGCCGCCGCCGCCGCCGCCGCCGCCGCGGGCCATGGAGCCGAGCCGCCCCGGGGGGCAGGGCGGGGCCGGGCGGCCGGGCAGACCCACGGACCGGCGAACCCACGGACCGACAGCGCCGCCGCCTCCCTCCCGCGCTACGGCGCCTCGGAGGGGCAGGCCTGGTCCGCGCGCCCGCGCGCGCGCCCCCGCCTCCAGCACGCCTGCACCCGCCGCGCGCCGCTGTGAGCCCGCCCTGCCGGCTGCCGAGCCGGGGCACCCGGGAGACAAGGACCCGAGAGGGGCGGAGTAAATGGGTCAGACTCGTCCAAGGGGTGGGCTTAGAGGTCGGATCCGCGAGCGGGTGCGGCCTGTAGAGCCCTTTAGCGGGGAGTAGGGACTGGATCCGAGGGCGAACTCCACAGGACGGGGGCCTGGAGGTTGGGCGGACTGAAGCTGAGGGACTAGGGATTTGTCAACTCTTTAATTGGAGCAAGATTCAAGATCGGCCAGCAGAGAGGCGGCAGGACCCTTAAAGACGTGGGCTGGAGGTGGCTGGGGCTTCTAGGGTAACAGGAAACAGGGTAAAGGAAGGAGAAAACAAGATTGGACAGGGTCAGGAGGAGCTCCCTAGGGCCCTGGAACAAAGATCAGAGTAGAGGTTACTGGGAGGGGATACTGCTGGGACTGGACTATCCCTCGGGGCAGAGGCCACTGCCTGGGCTCCAGGCCTCACAGACGGAGATGATGATGCCCCAGTGTACAGCCAGGTAAGTAGACGTAGTCAGACAACTCGGGCATGGTGGTCACTTAGATCGCTAAGCAAAGGAGTCACAGGCACAGACACACCCAAGGGCCCATATCTGCACACTCCCTCATCCCCTCAACAAGGATGTTTGGGGGCTACGGAGTCCTCTGCCCAGCACCCTTACCTCCCTACCTAGGAGCCAGCTTTGTGCAGATCAGAGGTGTGCAGTCAGAAAGCTGACAAGGGATTGGCATGAGGCTGAGGCGTACAGGCCCCTTTACCATTCCTTTGTGAATAGTGGCGCAAGAGGACAACAGAAGCGGCACTGACCCAGACAAATACCAAGTTTATTTCACAAACACTAGGACAATGGGTTTGGGGAAGAGATGGGGGACACAGGTGCGCAGCTGCACGAGTCATCAGCAACAGCCTGCTCCCCGCACTGAGGACTCAGCCTGGACTGCAGTGCCTCCAAGTCAACAGGCAGCAAGAGGTGAGTGCAGGGAGGGCCCTGAACACCAAGCCTCTGAAAGGCTAAGGGATACAGCTCCAGCTGTCCCAGTTAAACCAGCAATAAATAAGAGTGAGGCACGGCCCCACACACACGTATCGTCTAGTCACCCATCTTCACTCTGGAGGTCTGCAAAAGAAGAACAGGAGAAATCAGGCAGGGACAGAGGAATAGGTAAGGCAGTGACAAATGACAGAAGATTTAGACCTAGCACATGGTTGGATGGACAGACCACAAGAGATGTATGACTAACCAGGAGGGACACACTGTGACAGACAACCACAGAGTTAGGCTGTGGGACAGACAGATGGAGAGAAGTGATGTATGGATAAAGACAGTCACTAAGAGTCAACCCAGTCAAGCAGCCACAGTCACACTCAAACCCTCAGGCTGATCCTTAGTCACAAACTCACACTGTCAGCCTAGACACACACAATTTAAACAATGCTGTCCTACTGACAGGCATGTCACAGAGATACCCATAGCTCCGAGAGACGGTCAAACACACCATGACAGACTGATATAGATGGACAAAATCCCATTCTAGTCTAGATCACAAATACAGACAGGAGAATGAAGAGCATGAAAGAACAGAAAGAGGGAGAGACTAAGTGAGAGCTATACAGATACAAAGCATTGAGTGGGGGGAAACAGAGCTGTTGTCAGTGACACCAAATCAGAGCCAAAAATCGAGAGCCCCTGTAGGAGAAAACCAGAAGATGGAAATGAGGAGGTGGAAGCTGTTTGGGGGAATCTATAGTTATAGGTAGAGAAGGAGAACACTTCAGCTTCTCCAGAAGGAGGGTGAGGCTAGGTTGGGGACAAGGAAACAGAAGCTCCCCAAGGGGATTCAGCACCTGAAGAATTGCGACGATGACCCCAAAGAGGCCAATGGCACTGCCAAAGATCTCCACGATGAGAATCTTTACAAAGAGGCTGGGGTTCTGAGCATCGGCCAGGGCAGCCCCACTGCCCACGATGCCCACGCAGACTCCACAGAAGAGGTTAGACAGGCCTACGGTGAGGCCAGCCCCAAACATGGAGTAGCCTGGGAGGATAGAGAGGAGTACAGTGAGGCTGAGCCAGGAATGGGGGCGATATGGGCTAATGGGGCTAATCCCCATCCCCACTCTGCAAAGCAGGCCAAAGTAGGTAACAGAATATTAAAATGAGGCTCCAAGCTGGGAGAGGGGAAGGGAAACAGGCATGAAGCCTCAGAATTTTGCCTTCATATGCCCATACACCCACCTGCATGGTAGTTCCGATGGCCTATGGCCTTGGGGTCCGTGGCACTGAAAGGCTGAGGGAATAAGAAAAGTAATCAGAATCCAATCTCTAAGCAATGTGTAGAACACACCGGAATGGATTCCTGCCCCCACCGTGGCCTTCCATACCTCAGCCATGTTGCTAATGACAATTGCCATGATGATGCCATAGATGGCCACAGCCTCACAGAATATGATGCTGGTCGTGGTAGAGGTTAGGGGTAGGGAGTGGAAAAGAGAAAGAGATGAGAAAGAAACCATCCTTCTTGCCCAGAAAGTCCCCAGCAACCTTTCCCCACTAACATCCCATCCCACCAGGAGGCTTGTCAGAAGCAGTATGTCAGATCAAACACACAGGCAGCGCCAACACAGCTGGTTCTGACAGACATCCACAGACGCTTACAATTACCTGACCAGGTTCTTGGTCTTAATCCTGGGGGCCTTCACCCCTCCCCCAATGATGGAGGAGCCGGTAATATAGATGCCCCTGGTGGAAGGATAAAAAAACTGATGAGCAGAGCCCAAGCTGTCACTGCCCCCAGTATAACTAAGAGCCCACCTGCCATGACTCAGCTCCTGCCCCGAGTCCACCACCCCAGTACTCACCAGGCTGCCCCAACCACAGACAGGGAGATAGCTAGGCCAATGCCGAGGTTGGACCACATGAAGGGCGAAGTCTCCGTCAGGAACCTGTTATGGAGGCAGAGAAGGCAGCAATTCTGCCCTTGCAGGGCAGTGGGGCACAAAATCTTAGCCCCCCCAACCCTCCTTGACCCCACCAGTTCCACATGCAACAAGGGACTGCATATTTCCAAAGTCCATGTCCCAGGCAGTCGGTGGTGTGTAAGGGCTGGGACCAGAGGAGAGGAGAAGCTGCAGGGAAGAAGCTCTAAGGGGAATCCTGCCCCTGCCCTCCCTTACCATGCCACATCAAAGCGGAAGCCCAAGTCAAAAATGGTGTAGCAGATTCCTGCAGCAGTGAGAAAAAAAGGGGGTACGGGCTGCTTTGTAGAAAGAAGTTCCTCAACCTAAAGAAGTAGCTACCTCCCTGAAGGGCCACCTCCCTGAAGGGAAGTCCTCAGGCTGCCCCCCAGGTGACAGTACAGCTGTCTAGATAGATTCCTCTGCTTAGGCCTCCATTTTCTGCCACTCCCTCAGTAACACCACCTTCCAGACCAAGCTCCTGCGCAGGCACAGTCGCCACCCGTAGGCCTGAATCCGAAGCAGGACGGAGGGAACAAGCGCTCCAGCCAGGCCCAGCCAGATCTTGCCGGCCCAGTCCGTTCCGCTGTTTACTCAACAAGCCGTGGGTGGGGGAGGGCAAAGCGACCGGGAAAAGAGGAACCAGAGCAGCCGGCTTGTGACCAAGCGGGCCGGTCAGGCGCAAGAAAGGGGGGACCGCAGTGAGACGTGGGGGCGGGGGAAACAGCGATAGTGGCAGGAAGGGGGAGTGCTGCCCTCGCGGCCCCCACCTGCTCGCGCCCCTTCTCAAGCAGCTGGAGATCCGAGTTTCCTTTGTCGGGGTCAGAGACACTCGCAGGCGCGCGTCCCAGAGCCCGGGGTGAAAAGTGAGCAGGGGCCCAGTATTCCCCGCCAGGTACTTTCCCGCTGGGCTCCAGCCGGGCCAGTTCGGCCGCGATGCTGCCCCCGCCCGCCATGCTGCCCCCGCCCGCCAGGGCCCGGCCTCACCCACGACCAGCGCGCAGGCCCAGAAGGCCACGAAGACTCCGGAGTAGAGCAGCGCTAGCCCCGTCATGGCGGCGACGACGGCGGGGGTCGGAACGGTGGGGCCGGAGCTACAAACGCGTCCCAGCGTCCACCGTCCGCCCCGCAGTCTGTCCGCCCGCCCCGCAGCGTCACCTGACTCGCCGGCGTCACGTGACCCCACGCCGGTTCCCCGCGCAGCGCCGCCGCAGGTCTAGAACGAGGCAACGCCGCAACCGCAGGCGCTGGGGATTGTGGTGGTTGTAGTCCCGCGTCTCGGTGGAGGCTCGGGCGCCCTCCTCACTAAGAACTTCGATATCTATCCGGTCCTTCTCGAGTCTCCACTTCGCCCTGCCAGCCGTTTTATTTCGAGCCTGCTCGCGGGCCCCTAAGACCTCCCCTCTGGCCACCATGCGTCCTAGCCAGCGGCGGGCGGCGCCGCGCTTGCCCTCTGCTTCATCTTGCTCACGCCGTCTCTCCGCCCCAGCGCGCCTCTTGGCGCCCGTTTCGCTGCCTGGCTAACATCTGCCGTCCTCCGAAATAGTCCTGCCGGCAGGCCTTCCCTAACCCAGTGGCAGGGAAGCGCGCCTGCTGGGTTTCCGCGATGTCCTGGTGATGCTTATTAAGCTTCAGTAAGATGTCATTGCCTGTCGAAATGTCCTGATGGCTTCCATTTCATTCAGAAGAAAAGCCAAAGTCCTCACAACGGCCTGCTAGGCTCCCCACGCCCCTCAGCTGACTTCATCTTCTAATACTCCCCCACTAAATCTCTCCTCTGGCTGCACTGCCCTCCTTGCTATTTTCTTGAACCTGCCAGCCATACCCCCACCTCACTGCCTTTGCAGTTGCTCCCTCTGCTTCTCCTATCCATGCGGCTCATCCTGTAACTTCCCTTTAGTTTTTGCTCACCTTCTTGAAAAGGCCTTCCCTGACCATTCTGTTTAATATTGCAACGCCCCCCCCCCCACCTCCCTTAAACGCTCCTCTGCTTCCCAGCTTTACATTTCTCATGGTACTTACTGATCACCATTTGGCATACTAAGTATTTTGTTTGTCCAGCTCATCCTGGAAGAGTGTAAGCACCATGGCTTTTGTATCGCTCACTGCTGTATTTCCAGTGCCTGGCACAGTGTGTCCTCAGTACCTATCTGTAGAATACATGATTGATGCCCACTTTGCCCAGGTTACCTTAAGTCAGTTTACAGTTCTGCCTCCCCCATTAGATTAGGCATTCCCTGAGGGCAGGGACCACATGTCCATTGTTTACTTTCAATAACCTGGACAATGCCACTGTGACAAGATTCTCAACAAATGTGGGAAGAAGAGGTGAGTCTTTTCATTTCACTCCTCTCCACCTTGAGCATCCATCAATCCCACTTGCTTGAAGCAGCCGCCATGTTGGTTCATGTCTGTATTTAAGCCCAAATGTCTTTTTTCATTCTTCTCCTGACAATAGTTTTTTTCCTCCACAAGATCCAGCTTAGGTGTTATGCCCTCTGGGAAGCCTCCTCTCAGTCCTTGTCAGGTACCTCCTGTGGGATCCAGCTGTCCCTGAGGCTTCCCTCCTCAGATAGGACTGTTTCACTGTGTGCTGACTGCATATTTAACTCTTTCCAAGTATACTGGAAAGGAATCTGGTTAAATACAATTAACATCTACATCCCAGGACTTGTGCAGGACCTATAGTATTTCATGAGTGAAAAAGAAACATAAAGAGAAAAGGTATCTGGTTTATTCAGATTTCTGTGATCTCCCTGAGAAATAAATCAGAGTCATCAATATAGACCAACACTGTCCAACAAACAGAACTTTCTGCCACAATGGCATATCCTGTAGCTGCACTGTCCCCTCATGTGGCTATCTGAACACTCAAATGACTAATGTGACTGAGAAACAGCTTTTCATCTTAATTAGCTTAAGTTTAGCCACATGTATTTAGTGGCTACTGTACTAGACAGTGCAGGTCTAGTTAGACCAGTGGTTCTCAATTGAGGGCAGTTCTGTCCCCACAGGGAACATTTGCCAATGTCTGGAGACATTTTTGGTTGTCACAGTTGGGGGAGTGCTGCTGTCTAGTGGGCAGAGGCCAGGGATGCTGTTCAGCACCCTACCATACGCTGGACAGGCCCCATAACAAAGTATTATCCGGCCCCAAATGTCAACAGTACGAGTTGGAGAAACCCTGGTCTAGACTGTCTAGCAATTGCCTTTTGACAAGGGCAGACCCTCAACTACAGACCAGGAACTGGGATTGGCCAAAGGTCCTGGGCTGCTCTCAGGAAGACAGATGGGTCCAGGGGCCTCAGGGAAAGCCCTAAGCGCTTTATTCCACCAAACAATAAGCATTTACTGAGCATGTGCTGAGCTTGTGCCAGTGCCAGGACAGGACAGAGATGGATCCTATCCTCAGTGAAGGGCTGCCTGCTCTCCCTCCTTCCAGGGTCCTTCAAGGATCCTGGCAGGGGGATGGGAGGTTGGTGCAGGGAGCACTAAAGGTTCTAGCAGCCATTTGTAAGTCCATCTGTGTCTCCAATCCCATGTGGTATCAGCTGTTTCCCTCATCCTCATAGGCGATGGCAATCCCTCGTCTTCCACTCACAGCTTCTGTCACAGGCATCTGACCCAGGCGGGGCTCCAGTCCTTGCCAGCTCCGGGAACTAAGGAACGAGGCTGTAGAGGGAAGGGGCTCAGTCTGGATGCACTGCATCTGGAGAAAGAGTTCAGCTGGGGGTGGAGACTCACACATTTACCTGCAGGACTGCTCTCAGCCAGCTCCAGCTGGGGCCGTGGGGTCACGGCCAAGCTTCCAGGATCATTTGATGACTTCCAGTCAGGTGGGGGTCGGAGCTCTCCAGTAATAAGTGACACATCCGGGGTTTCCCACAGCTCTGACTCAGGTGGTGGGAGAGGCACGTGGAAGGGAGAGCCTGAAAGGGAAGACGAAAGAAAATCCATACTCGCCCCAACTCCATGCCCCAGGTTCCCAGCTTAGGCAATGCCCCACTACTCACCAGGCAACAAGTCCGCGTAATGTGTGAGGTAGGGAGCCAGGCCTGGAGGTGGCCAGGCAGGGTTGCAGGAAGCTTCCAGCTCACACGGTGCCAGTATAGGCCGGAAGAAGCTACCAGAAAGCTGGGGGGATAGAGCACCCAGAGGACACGCTAATAGCACAAAGACATCCATCTCAGGAAAGTTGGCAAGCTTAGCAGGGGTGGGCCGCCCCAGGGCCAACACATAGCTACGCTTGCCAGCAGCCCGAGTCAGGTTCCGCAAGTAGGCCAGTGCCTCACGGTGCTGGGCCACACCCAGCGTGCCTGCCAGCAGCCCCACCACGCGGGCATCTCTGGCCCTCTCTACCAGATATTGTCTTCGTGCCCTTAGCCGTCCAGCCCGGGCACCCTCATCCTGAGTCTTCCCTGTATCTGGGCAGCAGGAGGAGAAGGGTCGACCTGCTGCCCATCCCAAGAGCAGCCGACTCAGGTCAGGGTCAAGGTCCAGGTCAGGGCTGGCCTCAGAGCCCCCCACATAGAAGGCACCATACTCTTCTAGACGCCTCCCTGGGGCAAGGGGGAAGCGGCGCCCAAAACGCTCCAGGGGCTTAGGCTCTGGACTCAGGGACCCCACTGGTAGGGGAAAAGCTGGGCTGGAGACTAGCAGGTCCAGGTACCGCGGGCGCAGGAGAGTAGCCAAGGCCTCTGGAAGAGAAGGAGGTAGTGTGGAGGTTGGAGCCTGGCAAAGTAGGACTCCCTCATCCCCAGGAGATTAAATATGACCCAGTAGGCTAGGACCAAGCCCATATCAAGAGCTCTATGGAGGTATATGGAAATGGGGAAATTAAGGCATAAAGCAGTTGGCTCACCCTTTATGCATACACAGGCAAAACCCCTTACCCAGGGCATGGGCACAGGCCGGCTCACTCAGCAGCACCACAGGCGCTTTGGGATCTGGATTCTGGGCCTCAAAGGCCTTGACACAGAGCTCCAAGGCCACAGAACGATGACCAAGGACGAAGGTGACGGGCAGTGGACGGGCTGGGGGGCTTAAGCAGGCAGGGCCAAAATGTATGAGAGCCTGAGCTCCAGCTTGCTCAGCACCCAGTACATCCACACAGCAGCTGCAGGGGAGATAGCATCAGTGAAACGGGGTCTCTTCTGGAGGTGAGTTGCTGTTGTCAGTGTATAAAATGTGGTCAATGTATAAAATGGTTTCATAAAAGGAAGACATTGTCAATGAAGGGAGCTACTAGCATCAAGAGGGGAGTCATTACCATTATCACCAAGGAGAAACACCACCATTGAAGGCAAACGCTGTCACAGAGGTAAAACCCCAAAAGCCCTGGGTCCCCAGGCCTGGCCCACCTTAGGCCAAGTTCACACCTGTCGTAGGCTGTGTCCCCCAGAATGAACATCTTTGACCCTGTAGTCTCCTCCAATCGTGCAGCCACAGCCACAGCATCTCCCAATAGCTGGTCAGGGAACTGCAAGGCAACCTATAAGCATAAACCATGAAGTCAGGGACAGCCACTCTCCCACCGAGGACCTCTTTAAAGGCAATCTTCTGGGAGCTCCTACTGAACCTTCAACGCTCCTGGTCCCAGAGGGGCATTCTGCCCTACGGTGGAAGGGAGCGGTGGTCAACGTGCTGCGGACAAACCGATTTCCCCACCCCCTTACCCTCACAAAATCCCCCAAGATCCGGATCCTCTTGACGACCCATCCCCACAGAGGCGAACCACCCTTCCCTAAGTCTGTCCTCACTCGTTCACATCCCAGATCGCGGACAAATCCAGCGACCCGCTCCAGCTCGTACACTTGGTCCAGGTCCGGGAGAGGAGTGAGCAGTCCTGGCACCCCGGCCTCTCGCTGCAGCGCCGCCTCGGCAGGGCTGCTAAACGTCGACTCCATGAAGCACAGCTTGGGTGGTCAGATGCAGCGGGGACCTCCCTGGGTCAGCTACGGGGCCCGCGTCCTCAAGAGCAGCACTTAGTGGGTCAGAATCGCCTTGTGGAGGTAGGGGGAATCACGGTCGGCCTTCAGCCGGTGGCCATCCCCTTCAGCCATCCTAGCTCCAGTTTCCCCGCTACACGCGGGACTACCGGGGAGGTTACTTCCGGGTTTTAGAGGCGTGGCTGATAGTGATTTTACCAATCCTAAATCAGCACGGCTCCCGCCCTCCAATCCTGGCCATCAAGCCCCGCACAGAGAACCAAGGTTCTGCCTGAATCCCAGTCAGCCGGAAGTGTCTCGAGGAAGGCGCGGAGCCTTGTGGGCATTGTAGTTCCTTTGGCACTCCTCTCGGGCGCTGGGAGTCCAACTGCTCAGCCCACCCGCGGTCCTCAGGAACACTGACTTCACCGTTAAGCATTTATCCTCTGGTTAGTATCATTTAATATTTTTTTCTTTCTTCCTTCCCTTTTTTTTTTTTTTTTATTTGAGACGGAGTTTCGCTGTTGTTACCCAGACTGGAGTGCAGTGGCACAATCTCGGTTCACCGCAACCTCCGTCTCCTGGGTTCAGGCAATTCTCCTGCCTCAGCCTGCCGAGTAGCTGGGACTACAGGCGCGCGCCACCATGCCCAGCTAATTTTCTATTTTTAGTAGAGACGGGGTTTCACCTTGTTGACCAGGATGATCTCGATCTCTTGACCTCGTGATCCACCCGCCTCGGCCTCCCAAAGTGCTGGGATTATAGGCATGAGCCACCGCGCCCGGCCTCTTCCTTTATCTCTCTTTTTTTTAAGACAGGTCTTGCTGTTACCCGGACTGAAGTGCAGTGGCACGATCTC